TTAGTTTTCTTCTGTTTGCCATTGGATTTCTTCTATTTTACAAATAGAGTTTCAGTGCTTCTTTGCTGCAAAATTTAGTTTGACTAAGTGGTTTCAGTGCTTCTCCATTTCTTCTTTCTATCACAATCTCGAAATGGAGAAGAAAATTATAGTTTTATTGCAAAGCAAAAAAATCAGGCTCTTTATTATGATTTTGGGGTTATATTAGCAAGTCGACGTTCATCAGGTTGGCTATTGCAAACAAAATTTGCCATTGTTACAGTACCTCGCTTTATCAAGAGTGATCAGACATCCTGCCGGTCATTTGGCCAAACATCCTGTCGAACGACCGGCTACTCCCCATATATATAGAGATATTTTTATATTTTTAAGAATGTGAAATATAATATTTACCGGACATCTTTCCGGTCATCCGACCTGATGACCAACTGCTACACCATCATTATTTTATTTTATTTTATTTATTTATTTATTTATTATTTTTGAAAAACTTCTCCTAGAAGTTGCTAGAAGTTGTTTGGGCAAATTGTTTTCATAATTCTTCAGATCGTAAAAATAAATATTTTATAAAATTGAATTTTATAATAAAGAATCTGATATAGTGTGTATATATATATAAAACTACTAAACTAAAACACAAAACTAAATTTTTAGTTATAATTTGACTCAAAATTTGTTGATACTGATGTGGATACTCTTACAATAGCAAGATACAGCTTGGAATGAGGGCAATACTATTTGAACCGTAGATTGGAGAAGATGATGTGGCATAATCTCACACCATGAACTAGACTATCTAGTTAAAAAGTAAACATGAGAAGGTTCAAAAACCGAAATTAAGTAGATGGATATAATATGAAATTTTGTAAAAATTTGATTCGTAATGAATTAAGTAGATGTATTTAAGCTAAACTCACTTTAATGGGTTCAAAAACCGAAATTAAGTAGATGGATATAATATGAAATTTTGTAAAAATTTGATTCGTAATGAATTAAGTAGATGTATTTAAGCTAAACTCACTTTAATGGGTTCAAAAACCGAAATTAAGTAGATGGATATAATATGAAATTTTGTAAAAATTTGATTCGTAATGAATTAAGTAGATGTATTTAAGCTAAACTCACTTTAATGGGTTCAAAAACCGAAATTAAGTAGATGGATATAATATGAAATTTTGTAAAAATTTGATTCGTAATGAATTAAGTAGATGTATTTAAGCTAAACTCACTTTAATGGGTTCAAAAACCGAAATTAAGTAGATGGATATAATATGAAATTTTGTAAAAATTTGATTCGTAATGAATTAAGTAGATGTATTTAAGCTAAACTCACTTTAATGGGTTCAAAAACCGAAATTAAGTAGATGGATATAATATGAAATTTTGTAAAAATTTGATTCGTAATGAATTAAGTAGATGTATTTAAGCTAAACTCACTTTAATGGGTTCAAAAACCGAAATTAAGTAGATGGATATAATATGAAATTTTGTAAAAATTTGATTCGTAATGAATTAAGTAGATGTATTTAAGCTAAACTCACTTTAATGGGTTCAAAAACCGAAATTAAGTAGATGGATATAATATGAAATTTTGTAAAAATTTGATTCGTAATGAATTAAGTAGATGTATTTAAGCTAAACTCACTTTAATGGGTTCAAAAACCGAAATTAAGTAGATGGATATAATATGAAATTTTGTAAAAATTTGATTCGTAATGAATTAAGTAGATGTATTTAAGCTAAACTCACTTTAATGGGTTCAAAAACCGAAATTAAGTAGATGGATATAATATGAAATTTTGTAAAAATTTGATTCGTAATGAATTAAGTAGATGTATTTAAGCTAAACTCACTTTAATGGGTTCAAAAACCGAAATTAAGTAGATGGATATAATATGAAATTTTGTAAAAATTTGATTCGTAATGAATTAAGTAGATGTATTTAAGCTAAACTCACTTTAATGGGTTCAAAAACCGAAATTAAGTAGATGGATATAATATGAAATTTTGTAAAAATTTGATTCGTAATGAATTAAGTAGATGTATTTAAGCTAAACTCACTTTAATGGGTTCAAAAACCGAAATTAAGTAGATGGATATAATATGAAATTTTGTAAAAATTTGATTCGTAATGAATTAAGTAGATGTATTTAAGCTAAACTCACTTTAATGGGTTCAAAAACCGAAATTAAGTAGATGGATATAATATGAAATTTTGTAAAAATTTGATTCGTAATGAATTAAGTAGATGTATTTAAGCTAAACTCACTTTAATGGGTTCAAAAACCGAAATTAAGTAGATGGATATAATATGAAATTTTGTAAAAATTTGATTCGTAATGAATTAAGTAGATGTATTTAAGCTAAACTCACTTTAATGGGTTCAAAAACCGAAATTAAGTAGATGGATATAATATGAAATTTTGTAAAAATTTGATTCGTAATGAATTAAGTAGATGTATTTAAGCTAAACTCACTTTAATGGGTTCAAAAACCGAAATTAAGTAGATGGATATGCTAATGGGAATTTTTAGAGCCATTTGGAAAGTTTAATTGAAAATTGATTCGGTCTAATTCGTTAAGATGTGTTTGGCAAGAATCCTAGCCATAAGCATATATATATATATATATGATATAAGTTCCCTTTTTGAACTCATCTCTTGCATTATGTGAGTGGAAAATCCTAGAAGAGATCTAGAGAGAGAGAAGAAGAAGAAAGTCAATATAGGAGCTTGAAGCTTGGGAATTTAAGGGGAAAATCAAGAATATAGCTCAAGATAAGTGTTAATCCACTAGAATTCTCTTAATCTTTCTTCAATTACTTGGAATTAAGACCTAAGATGAAACTTTTGCACTCATAAAGTTAGGGCTTATGAGTTATGACCTTGATTGAATCTATTTCATGAAACTGAGCATGTGGTCTTTGGATTTAGTTAATTAAAGGGTTGATTGTGTTTTGAGTTGTCTTGACTTAGATTATGAGCAATTGCCTTTTGTTTCTCTTAGTCTTTACATCTTTGCATGTTTTGAACTCATGTATGTATATATGTTTGTATATACCATGAAGAAATGAAGAAAGTATGGAAGTTAGGGCTTCTATTTGGAATTTAAAAGAAGTTTTGATCTAATTGAGCTTGAATTCATGTTTTAGTATGCTCATATATCACGTTTTTAGTGAAATTGCTTGAATTGAACCTTAGAAATGAGTTTGGAAAGCTTGAATTTGTTGGATTTTCGAACTACACAAATAGAGCCCAAGATCGCACGTGCGGGGCTCACAGCCGCACGTGTGGAAAATAGAGGAGGCAAGTCAAGCAATCTAAAATAAAAGCATGCACGTGGCCACACATGCGGCACACCTCTCCGCACGTACGGTGCAGGACTTCTGCACGTGCGGGAATTGGGGCAAAATTCTGTCAACTTTTGTTACTCTTTTTGACCCTCTAAATCTGTTAATGTGTATATTTACTCCCTCCGAAATGCTTAAAAATGAGTAGAAAGTGAACGAAGCGAAAGAATGATTAAAAAGTAGAAACTACGAGAAGAATGCTTTGTTTAGCCGTTTGTGTGTGTGTGTGCCATGTGTGGGTCACTTGCTAAAAGGGACCGTTGCTCGACTAAAATACTGTGAGTAATAGTAGTGTAACAATATGTTGTATGTTGCCATTTATTTATGTTCAATCACAAATGATATGTTTTATGCAACTTGTGTTTTGATTAAAGTGATTCAGTATTTGACAGCAATGACATAGGAAATGGACCCAAAGTCGTTTTGTTTTTGTTAAATATGATGGGCCCGAGGCCATTATGTTTTGACATGGATTACGTGGCCCAAAAGCCGAGGGAGATGGAGACATGTCGATGTTCCATCTACCTTAGAATGTTCAGAACAACTATTCATATGTGGGCCTAAGGCCGTTGTGTATCAAGTTGGGCCTAAGGGCGTTGTGTCTTATGTTGGGCCTAAGGCCGATATGTATCATGTTGGGCCTAAGGTCATTCCGTATTTGTTGGGCCAAAAGTCGTGTATTACGTTAGACCCAAGGCCATTCTGTATTTTGTTGGGCCCAAGGCCATTTCGTCTTGTGTGGGCCCGAGGCCGTTCTGGAATGTGATTATGATTACAACATGTACATGTTATATAAATATTCTTCAAGACATATGCTCCTATATATATAAACCTCCTTACATTATTGTTACTCGCTAAGCCTTGCTCACTCCGTATATATATATATATATATATTTATGCAGGTGATCAACTCGGAGGCCAGCCCTAGGTCAACTTCATGAATTTTTGATAGACTTGTTTTGTTAAGCCTCCAAAGTTGGAGTCCTTTGGTCGTTTTTGAAGAGTTTATTTAATGCCACATTTTGTTAAGTCTTTGGCGGCTTTTATTGAACACTTGGTCAATATGTAAATTTTTGGACTTCTAACTCTTTATTTGTACCTACATGACTTGCATTTGTATATAGATATAAACTGTGTATGTGAACTCTCTCTATATTTGTGACTGGATGTTTAAAATCCTGACATATAAACATTACTCAATTCTGTTATTGCTTTGCTTCCGCTTTAGGCCCCATTATTGAACAAAATTATTTCGAGATTTTATTTTTGAGGCCTAAGTTCAAGCCGATCATGGCCTAAACTTTTAGGGACGGATTTGGATCATGACAACAGTGGAAGGCCTGAAAGGATTTTGAAGGGAGATGGGGTTGCGATCTGAAGCTGACGCATCTTGGCGACAACGATTAATTGTCTCGGTGGCATTGGTAATTCATTCTCCTAAATTTCTAATCAATCCATGGCAAGAAGTAACTCGCAACCCACTTTCTCTAATGAATCTACAGTTGCGAGGATTTATTTTGGCCGTCGCCATTTTTTGATTACTTTCCGGCAAGTAACCCATTATTTGAAAGGAGTTCATTGAGGTTGATGGCGTTACTGGGTATTCAAGATTTCACCTCCATCTTTCAAGATTTCTACCATAAGCACAATATAGCAAAAAACTAAGTCATTCTTATTTTTTACACCCAAATCAACTGTGAATGGGGCTATTTAGAACTTGGGAATAACAATTTTCTTCTTTTGGAAACATGGTCTAAAATCTGTCGTTTGGTATATTAATGAATCTGCTGTCTTCTCTCTCTATTGTGTCTACTTCACCTTCTTTTGGCATTTGTTTTCTCTCTCTGTCTGCCTCTCACTTTCTTTTCTTTTCTTTTCTGTTTTTTTTTTAAGCCTTCAGTATGCAAAACGACATTTTGTGTACTGCACGGCAACTCCAGACAGTTTCACTGAAAGGATCCGAACACCGTTGACAATAGATCCACAACTAGGCAACTTTCAGCTTTCCCAGTCGATGTTGGGCCAAATCTTCTGAGTAAAGCATGCCATTGGGTGACATGAGGCGTAGTAGAGCAATAAAAAAACGAGACTGAGAGGGAAAGAAGAAAAAAAAAAGAAAACAAAAACAGATGAGTCATAATAAAAATGGGGGGAAAAAAAAATAGAAAAACAGGTAAGTTCAAATAAAAATATTGGCACGAGTGCTTTGGATGCTGTTTTTACCCATTGAAACCCTACAAGGGCGCACCAGAAACTTGACAAACCGTATCCTTGACTGCTCACCAGCTGGTACGAAAAAAAGATTAAAAAGAAAAGGGAAGAGCATTATTAATGTGCTGAGGAAACAATGAAAAGTTTGAAAACATCCATTTTGTTTTTGTATGAAAACATTTTTGAAGATTCAAAAACAATTTTTTGATATTTCCTTAAAAGTTTGTTATTTTTAGAAAATTTTCCAGTTCACTAAACGAGTTATCGGTTTTCCTCTTCTGAAATAATAATAATAATAACAAAAGTAGAAAACAAAAACACAACCAAATAGGTATCATTGTGAAAATTTCATTCATTTTTTAGTTTTAAAGTACATTGGCATCAAGCATTGAAAGATATAAAAGTAAATTATACAGGGCACAGAAAAATAAATTCCATACCATTAGAAAAAGAGTGCCTAAAGAAAAGCACCCGCTCATTGACAAACTAATAAATTTGAGGTCTCGCCCAGCCTGCACAAAACATATATCCATATCCTGATGGTAAAACACTAGTATCTACATACCGTAAAGCAAATAAGTATTTTATTCTAGAATGAAGTTATCAAGTTGTAAATCAAGCTTGAAAATTGCAAGAGACTTTTGATGATTAGGCGATGAAATGAAACGTAAGGTAGATTAGGTAGATTATACCACATTATAAGATAAAGCGGTATTATGCAATTAGGTAGATTATACCACATTATAAGATAAAGCGGTATTATGCAATTGAGATAATACTGGTTTTGGTTGATGATCCTTTTGCATCAGCACAGAATACAAATTTTGATCTCTTAAGCACAATTGAAAATTGTAAATGTGACACTGTATACTTAAAATCTACCCATTACCATACATATGATTCCCTTTTTTTAAAATCAATATTCATTCCTGTGACATGAAAAGAAAGGCACCTCAAAAAAAATAAAAACAAAATAAATAAAATAAAATAACCAGTAAAAAGCAAAAACAAGCATACCAGCAATGTCCCCTCAAGGCTATGAACAGAGGGTGTTACACACAATGCAAGGAAGAATGGAATCAACACTTTGTGCATCTGCGTGGACAATTTTAATCAAGGAAAACAAGATAATGTTACATTTTCTATTTTTCAGATGATATGAAAAGCACAACACATCTATACAGTGTGTGCATTCTATTAAACACATTTTCTCCAACATGAATCATATACATAATACATTTAATTAACAAAATAGTTAACCCATGAATAACGACACATATACGATCAGCCACCAAAGTCCCAAAAAAAATATATATATAAAAAAACACAGAACTAAGCAAGTATTGATAAGAACAGATATTGACAATCAGGGATAAATGTGCTGCAAGTGACCGTCCTATTTAAGCGGCATGTATCAGAGCTACAAGAAATGACAGCAGCGAATATATATAATAAAAAAAATTAAAAAAAAAAACAAGACGAAAAACTAACCTCCCCTATGACCTCAGGATCAGGTGAAAAAAAATTGGGGAACATCAAGGGAACAAATGTTCCAATAGAACCTAATATCAATCCGCTTAGTGCTCCAATGATCAGCAGCGACTTTAACAGTCTTCGAGCCTGTTTGATATGATAAACCTTTCTGAACATCACTTGCATATGAAAATCATGTAGAGCCAGATGTTGGTAATAGGAATTTATGAATAGTATGACAGCAGCGAATATATATAATAAAAAAAAAATTAAAAAAAAAACAAGACAAAAAACTAACCTCCCCTATGACCTCAGGATCAGGCGAAAAAAAATTGGGGAACATCAAGGGAACAAATGTTCCAATAGAACCTAATATCAATCCGCTTAGTGCTCCAATGATCAGCAGCGACTTTAACAATCTTCGAGCCTGTTTGATATGATAAACCTTTCTGAACATCACTTGCATATGAAAATCATGTAGAGCCAGATGTTGGTAATAGGAATTTATGAATAGTAGTCATGCACTACACTCCAACTTTATCCATGAAACCCATAAAAACAAACATAAGTTTAACTAACCTCTGCCAAACTTTGATTAACTCCATACATCAACTCAGGCATAAATGACTGAGCAGTTTGAGAAAGAGGCTCACCAAACACGGTACACATGCCGTAAAGTTGCATCATGACCTAGAATGACAATTTGGCAGTGTAAATGTCCATCAGTTCCTTACAGATAAGAATTTAATGCAGATAAAGAAAGAAAATAAAGGGATTTTTAAAGTATGTGCTACAAACCTGATGAGCAGCAACAGTGTGTGTGCCCATTGATGTAGCAAAATATACAATGAGAGAGTAAAATGCAACCTAAACATCAAACAGGTTAGATGGTTGTATAATCATGTGTGCGTGGATATAGTTAGAAAATCAAGATGTCACAAACCTTCGACATCATTGTCACAAACACTGGAGCAGCAATCATAAATATTTGCAGAAGCTCAGTGGGTGATGGCGCAGAGATGGTAAAAGCGTTATATCCTTTCTTATTCAGAGCTTCAATCATCATATAACCTGCAATAATCTAAAACATACATGGTAGGTAGCAGGTGGTAACATTAGAAAAAAGATGCCAATTTGGAACAATGGAGAGTGCATCCACAAGAAAATATGATAAGAATTATGAAACCATGTCAATAAGATAGTGAAATGCATCTTACTTGCGACACCATTGTTGCCCAAGCAGCTCCAGCAATACCATAACCTAGGAATGTGCATAAGACTATGTCACCAATGCCGTTTACAGCACTGGCAACTGCCAAGGCCTTCAAAGGTCCCCATGAATCTTTCATGCCAAGACTGCACACCAGAAGGAACACATGTAAGCCTTGCAGTTTCATTGAGTAATGCCTCCAAATAAAAATTAATAAATTAAAGTTGATACATGTTTATTAATAAATCATGACATTGAGTAACTGTCCCCATAGAACCAGATCATGTTAAAGTAAGGATATCAGTAGGAAGATACATGATCTGGTTATCTTCCAGTGTTTAAGGTGCATCAATTATTCTTTGAACTTAGCTGCATAATCCATGACTCTTCAATGTTTAAGCTACATTTAGGTCTGTTACTCTTTCAACATAGTTCATTATAAGTAGCTAAATATCTTCCAGCACTAAGGCAGCACTGCAACCCACACGAGGGTACAAATCAACAAATAGAGCCCCATAAAAGAGCTTTTTCTATTCAAGGAAAAGGTGCAGTGCCAGATTTGTTGAAATGATGTTACTGTGTTATATAGTTGCCATTAACCATACAATCACTCGTGATTCTTCTTTGTTTTCAAGAAGCTTAACCACTAACTTTCACGTACAAATCATTGGAAGAGTATAGTATATTTGCACCTGGCACTTTGAGCAACCCATCCAACAAGCACTGCAGGCCATGCTAAGCCTCGAATCTACCAACAGAAAAGATTCCATTCAATTGAACAGTCACCAAAACATATAAAAATATCAACCATCAAACAAACAATGCTCTTCCACTGAAATTCAACCAGTCCGGGAATGAAACAGGCACTAGCATATACCACATAACTAAAGCACATGGTTAATGCAATTGCTAGACATAACAAAAAATGAAAGGACATAATTCTACCTGCAAACCAAGCGAGTACATCAGGAAAGGGCAATAATTCCTAGACAAACGCAAATGGCTAAAAGGCTTCAATTTTCTGGGGATACAGTTAATGTTACATAAACATTAGCAACTAATTCCACAGTGTTGGATCCCATATTCCACATACAAATTGGTTTCAAGTCAGATTTTATCGAACAATGAAGATAGGAAATATATATTCAGCTTTTTAATAAACTCAAGAAATGTTTTACTTGAAATAAATTTTACACAGCGAGTTCCTGGTGCCACCTTTGCATTTAAGTTAATATAGGTCTGTCACATAATGATCATAGTTGGGTGAATAAGAATTTCCACACGATTGGAAAGCCAGTAAAATTTTGAGAAAGCATTTTGTATCCTCCTTTTTCACCAAAAAAAAAAAGAAAAAAAAAAGAAAAAGAAAAAGAAAAAAGTTACATCATCAGATAACAAAGAAAAAGGAATATAAACCTTGTAAACAATAGGAATAATGGGAAATGGTGTAAGTGAAAACAACATAGAATAGGTTTAATTAATGGCAGTCAAACCTGAACATATGTGTTTGCTGCAGGTATGATATGCGCATTCTTTGGGCCAGTAAAAGCTGGAAAAGTCATGTTAGCAAATCAATGAGACATTAGACCGCATTTGCTCATAATCAAGAGATAAAACATGAATGACTTTTCAAAAACAATCCAGCACTTCACCCATACGAGTCTTCATTACCAGTTAGTGCCCATACACCCAGGAATTTTGTAAAAAACAGCATTAATACACCACAAATCAACCCAACAAAAAGCAAGATAGATATCTGATGCTGCACTTCGGCTTTACCCTGCACAAATGAGGATTAGTCATTTAGTCAAGCAGTGCAGCAAAGACAATGAAAACTAGGCAAGGACTAACTAGTATTCAAAGGATTGGTATAAATATAATTGATGCAGGACAATTAGGGACAGCCACAACAGTGGGCTTTTGGGGCTGATTTTAATTGAGTTTTATGGATGAAATTGCAATAAAAGTATAGGGGACAAGTAGGGTTTGTGTGATAACCCTGTTCCGTATTATGCTAATTAATCTAAATTACGATTGTGATTATATGATTTTGTGTGCCACTTATATGAATATATGTGGTTTTGAATTTCTATCTGTTCACCGTAGGAATACCTGTTCAACTTACTGTTATAAACTGAAAATTAAAGGCCTTGTCTGCCACAGAAACCGAAATTGACTACGCCTTTGTTATTAGCGTAATTTTTAGAGCCTACGGTGAAATTTAATTGAAAATTGATTTGGATCAAAATAATTAGATTCAGAACAATTAATTAAGCTTTATTATTTAACTCTAACCAAATGTGATTAGTGAGAGACTATAAAAGGAGCTCTATTATACTTATATTCATTTATTTGAGCTCAAAGCTGAAAATTGCTCTAAGGAAAGAGAGTGAGGGTCGGCTAGAGAGAGAGAGAGGGAAACAATTAGAGATTGAGCAAGAGGCTTGGAAATCTTGAAGATTAACTCAAGAACTAGCTAGAATTTGGGTGTTTGAAGCTCCTAGGTGAGTAAATTCATAGATTTTAGTTTGTAACTTTGTGAATTCAAAGTTGAATGGTGATCAAGAACATGAATTGAGTTAGTTTTGATGAATTGGGAGTCAATATACACATGCATGTAGGAGATTGCCATGAATTGTATGTTTGAGCTTGAAATTTGCATGAGCTAGCATGAATAATGTTGAACATGGAGAATAGGGCACCAATCTTCACATGCATGCATAATTTTCATGGGTTCCACAATAATAAGTGTCATTTGCATGGTTTGAAATAGAAACGAAGTCAAAAATTTGCATGCATGTTTGATTATGGAAGATACGGTGCTTATATGAGGGTTGAATGCATGAGCCTTGATTATACTAAAGAAATGTTGATTAATTTTGAAGATTGGACCATGATTTTGAGCTATTGGCCTCATATTGTTTGTGTACTCATGATATATAATGTGTTTCCCTATCTTGGTACCTTAATTCGAGCTTTGGAGCCTTTGAATATCAAGTTTGAGACTCAAGAATAATTCTGGATTTTCCAAAATTTGGCATGTCCGCTCGAGCGGGGAAAGCGCCGCTCGAGTGAGAAATACGAGCTCCCAGAAGTTTTGCAGGCATGGATGTCCGCTCGAGCGGGGAGATTCACGCTCGAGCAGGGAGATTCACGCTCGAGCGGGGAGCCATGTAGTGAGACTTTCAGCTCGAGCGTCCGAATTCACGCTCGAGCGTAAAAATGAGGCAACCAGTACTTTTGCAGACCTAATGGGTCCGCTTGAGCGGGAAAGTCCACGCTTGAGTGGGGACTCCTGTTTCAGAAATTTTGTAAAGATGTTTTATGTCTCGTTTTCCGTTCTCTTTCACTTCTAAGCACTCTTAGGCATACATTGAGCATTACAAATGAATTAAAAGGATAACAAAGAAGCCTAAGAGGAATGTATGAATTAAGAATGGATTGAATCGTTTGTGACCCATATGTGTTATGTAATGCGTAGGGTCGACCTCAAGGGTGAATCCACCGGCAGAACACTGTGAGTAATATCTTAATAAGGATATTTTGAAGTATGTTATTTGTCCAATTACTTATTCCCCTATAAGTTTTATAAGTTTTTAATTTGAATTGTGAAAAAATGTTTGCTATGCCATATGGTTGGGCCTAAGGCCGTCTGCTATGAATGAATGGGCCGAAGGCAGTCTGACATGAATGATAGTCTGACTCGAATGATAGTCTGACATGAATGAATGGGACCGTTGGATATGAATGAATGGGCCGGAGGCCGTATGACATGAATGAATGGGCCAGAGGCCGTATGACAAATAATTGGGCCAAAAGCCGTTGGACAGGAATGATTGGGCACAAGGCCGTCGGACATGAATGAATTGGGCCCAAAGCCGTTTATGTGTTTGGAATCGCAGTCACTTGACCTATTATTTATATATATATATATATGCCTGATAGAAATATGAATTGGGTCTAACGCCGTTTGATGTTTATTGTTCTAAGTACCGTTCATGTAACTTCTTTATTTGATATTGTCCACTGGGCATTCGCTCACGCACATTCATGTGTCTGTAGGTGAGCCAAGGGAGGTCCAAACCCAGCCTCAGTGAAGTTGTGTGAAACAATCAAGGTTTTGAAGAATCAGCCGGAACGTCTCACGCACGAGACTTATTTTCGCTCTTTTGCTATTTTGTTATATTTTGTCATGTTGGCGAAAACGTTGGTCTATCTTTGTATATAAGTTTTGGTTAGGCTAACTAAGACTTGGATGATCCTCTATGTACAAAACTTTGTATTATTAACATGTATGCAAATAGATTGTCATGCGTGCCATGTAAGTACAGCTCTACGGACAAAAGTTTGAAATTGCTTCCGTTTGGCTCCCTTAACTCTGTTAAAACGTATCTGATTTGGTTTGAGGCCGCAGGTAATCTCATAATTACTGGCCGGTTATGTCCTTAACCCACGGGGGCGGGTTTCGATCGTGACAGTTTGTTTAGGGTAATAAATGGGTAAGAGTTTAAGCATGAAAAGATAGGAATTTGGCACTATTTAGGGGCTGTTTTAGGAGCTGTGAACAGTATTCGTGAACAGTGTTTGGGCTGTTTAAAAGTGCAGAAAATACAGGAGGGAAAGAAGGATAAGAAAAAGATAGACATAGGAATAAATTCCTTAAGCATCACACCTAGGGTTAGGATTGCATCACACAAACCCAAAGAGGCTTCAAAGCTCTCAAATTTTTTTAAAATATCAACTCTATTAAAGTATAAGCATTATATGACTTTATATAGAACTAATAGACTTCCTAAACCAACTATAACCAAAACAAGAAACTATCATAATATTTTTGACTTCCAAAAGTAATCTAAGACTAAATAAGAAACAAAAACAAAGACTAATTAAATTACTCGACCCAACACACAACCCATATTTGGAAATTTTACAAATTACCAAAATACCCTTAACCTTAAAAATCGTAAGAAACATAAAAATAATAATAAAGTAAGACTCTAATAATACTAAAAATATGATTATATGTGATTACTATCGGTTTCTCTTTAAAATCATGCCAAGTTCCAAATATTGCCGGCATTTTGAATTTACTCGTTGTTGAGTTTCTTTGCCTCCGTTTGGGAAGTGGGTTGGCTTTTTGGCTTTTTGACTTTTTTGACTATTTTAGCCTGGGCTAAAAAGTTTGGTTTGGGAAGGGCTTTTTGGTTTTTTGGCTTTTTTGGCTTTTTTTGTGAGAGAAGAATGTAATGATTATGGGTTGGATGTGATATTTTGTCTTTGTGGCTAAAATAGCCAAAAAAGCCCCGTTTAGCTCTTGCCAAACGGAGCCTTTTACTCTACATCAATAATACTGGTGCAACACTCATAATTCTCATACCAGAAGCAAAAGCACGTCAGTTTTGACCTAAATAGCACAGATTCAAACAGACAACATGACACTTTTTAAAAAATAGAAGACACGTTACATCTAGGATATGTTAAAATTTTATATTTTTTTGGGTAAATTATACAAATAGTTTTTATATTTTGCCACTTGTGTCATTTTGGTCCTTACACTTTCAATTGACTCAATTCTGACCCTTAATTTTAGATTTTGTGTCAATTTGGTCCAATTGATAAATTCGTTAGGTTTTTTTAGCGGAAAATTATCACTGAGTTAGTTGATGTTAAGTGATCAAATTGATCAAGTTTACAATTTTGCCCCTAAAAGCATTACAAATGCCGCTTATGTGAGCATTTGTCATAAAACATGCTAACAATTGAAATCAATTGAACCAATTTGAGACAAGGTAAACAATTCAAGATCAAAATCAAGTCAATTGAAATTACAGGGACCAAAATGATATAAGGGTTAAAGTATAAGGACTAGCGGTATAATTTGCCATATATATATATATTTATAAATTTATTATATGTCAAATATATGAACAGTTTATTTAAAAGTAATAAAAAAAAAACACTACCTAAAAAAAAAACCATATATTCCATTACTCAAATATCAAAATATCATTTACGTAACAACCGTAATCTAAAGAACATAAAACAATTATAGAACATTAAAACACACATAACGTATTCATCTTAAAATGTTTCAAAACATATTTAGAATACACAGGTTGCATTATTATGACGAATGCATAACATTGTTACCGTAAAGAGATTCATCACAAAGGTTGTGTTCAAAGGTTCAAGGAGTGTTCGAGAAGTGTTTGTAAATTGTCCAATATTATGAATTTAAAATTTTAATTAAGACAAGTTGAAGAAATGCCGGGCATGCTTTTAAGGGTGTCCACATAGTGTTGTGTTCAACATGACACGCCTCCTCATAGAAGTGTATGTGCTTCTTAGATTCTTAAGTTTCAACAATGCGTTAAAAAAATAATAAAAGGAATTCATGTGTTGAAACAAAAACAAATTAGGAAATTTGTTGTTTTTAACTGTTGAAAGTTGCTTTCGGAAAATTTAGTCCCCAACTTAAAGTATAATGCCTAAAATTTAATGACAAAATCGCAATGATGAATGAAAACCAACAATGCCCTTCAACAAAGCAACAATGCTCTTGACAAACTAACCTGTCCTGCAAGTGAAGTAGCGACCATATTTGATGTAGCAATTGAAAGAAACATAAAAACATAGCTCATATAATCACAAACCACAGTCCCAGGACCTGCCCAAAACAAAACCACAAAATCACATCCAAATTAAATCGCGGCCTTTCAGACCACCAAAAATTTACACTGAATAGACAATCACAAAAAATAAGAAATACCTAAAGCAGCAAGCTCAAGAGAACTTTGCTGACCAATCACAACAGTGTCAATGAGACTCATCAATGGTCCACAAATCCACAAACCAATAGCTGGCCCTGAAAACTTCATAATTTCTACCATTTGATTCCAAATACTGTCATTCACCACGAACTCTTCTCTTTTTGACTCAACCACCTCTGTTTCTTCATCTTCATCTTCAACCGAAGCCATTTTGGAATCTTCACCACCGACAACTTCTTGGCTTGGACTAATGCAAGCAGTAATGAACTGATTTTTTGCCGCTACATGAAAGATTCGGAGGCTTGAAGGCATGCGAGGTTTGCGATGGCATTGCAAAGAGAAGTGAACTTGCAATTGCAATTGGTTGAAGAAAGTCGGACGATTATACAATTGTTTGAATTTAGGGTTTTGCATTAGAAAGTAAGTGTTTCGATTTAGGGTTTGAAGATCCATGTTTTTGTTTAGAATATCAGTATGAATGAGAGAGAGAGAGAGAGAGAGACAGAGAGAACAGAGTTGAGCGGCTTATATTAATAGTTGCTCTATGAATTTGGAAAGAGTTCTTCTGAGTAACCTTGATGGAAGCTCCGCCGCCAGTAACTGTCCACGTCCACATAGTGGTCAAACTACAACACAAACAAAATAAATTATTCGAAACTGGATCCATGAATCCCTCAACTTATGTGAACACGAGGCGCCAAACAACCCTTCAAAATATGTTTGGAAAAAATAAAAATGAGCTTAACAAAAATATAAAAAATAAATAAATAAACTATTTTTGAGTTTAAAAAAAAATTATTCATTCTCAAAGAAGATAGAACAATGCAAAAATGATTTTAAATTTTTTAAAAAAATTTGTTACACTAAATTAATTGTCAAATTTTTTTATAGTACAATCAATAAATATTTTTTAGACCATCTCTAATGGTAGTTACTATTATAATATTCTCAAAACTATAATTTGACATGTTACGATAGCAATTTGCCAAATTATAACAATAGTGCTATAATAGTGCAATGCCATTTTAACGCAATCCTAACCAACTTTCCCTCTTTTTTTTTAGGTGATGTTTGGATTTAGTGGGTTTTTTTTTTTTTTTTGATCTTTTTAAAACTTAAAATATTAAAATATTAAAAATTTTATTATAAAAAAATTTGAAAAAAAATGTTTACAATGAATGTCCTGGATTATTTTGTGGCAATACCAAATCAATGCTCATGCCCATGAGGCATGGAATAATTTTTCCTTCATCAATAATCTATTGTCATTGGTTGAGTTGGTTCTAAAACCATCTTGCATATTGTCTCTCTGTCATTCTCTTCCACTCTTTCTTTCCTTTGTTTTTCGATCCCTCTCTATGGGTTGGTTTGGGAAGTGGGTTGGTTTTTTAACTTTTTGACTTTTTTGGCTATTTTAACTTGAGCTAAAAAGCTTGGTTTGGGAAGGACTTTTTGTCTTTTTGACCTTTTTGACTTTTTTTGTGAGAGAATAGTGTAATGATTATGGGTTGGATGTGATGTTTTGTTTGTTGTGGCTAAAATAGCCTATTTTGTCTTTTATGACTAAAATAGCCAAAAAAATTCCACAAAACCACTTCCCAAACGGTGCTTATTTGTTTGTCTTCTATCTTCCCTCTCTTCTCTTCTATTTCTTCCCTCTATTTTTCAATCATGAAGCACTTTGTTTTGCTCTCTCTCTATCTCCACATCAATGCCTCTACATCTAAGAAATCTTAAAACCCTAAATATTCAATTGAAACCCGAAAGCCAAGAAATGGACTGGGAAACCTATTTCGACATATCATATATGCCTATCTATCCCTCTAAATCTTAAATCCTAAATCATTTGAGAAACTCGAAACCCATGAAATCGAAGATGAAGACGAAGATGATGAAACACAAACAAACCCTAAATCATCCATGCTTTTATATCTCTTCAAATCCCAAACCCTAAATCGTTCAATGAAATTGATGATGAAGAAGACAAAAATGAAAATGACGGGGCACAAACTAACCCTAAATCATCCATGCCTCTCTATCCCGTCTTTTTGACAAAGAAGATGAAGACAAAGATGATGAAGCACAAAACCTAAGATGATGAATATGAGGCCCCTAACTTTTGTAAACCCTATTAAAGCCTCAACTTTTGAATTATTATAATAAAATTCTTAGTTCCTCGTTTACTCGCGAATTAAACCCTAGTTTTCGGTTATCGCCATTTTCGCTCAACTATTCACTTTTAATTCCAAATAGCACTATCCGAATTATCTTTCCTATCTCTATTTTAATTAATTCCATACTTAAAATAGGTATTTTAATTTATAAATTTAGTCTATGCCCTCACACTTTATCAATATTTCACTTTAGTCTCAATTTCATTACTTTATATATATATATATATATAAGTACACTTCATTATAATAATCTTTTCCACAAATATCTACAATATTTTAAGGTGTATTTGTACCCAAAAAAAATGTGAAAAACCTGTCAAACTCCCTTGCACATGGCCAACCACCTCTTGGAGGATTCTGGTGGTGTACTTTGAAAGTATGATTCAAGAATTTAAGGAAGAATTTGTGACTTGACCCAAAATCATGGAGACTTGTCTTGTACTAGCTATCAATCTAGTTCTACCTTAACCAAACTATAACTAAATCATGATTTAAACCACACTTAAACCTCTTAATCAACCACCATTTCATTACGTTTCAACTAAATACAAATTATTTTCATTCAATTCCAAACAAGGGCACTTTAGACCTTTCATCACTTTTTTCCTATAAATAGAACCACCCCCCCTTGCATATTTTGCACACTCAAACACAAACATGGCTGAGGGAGAGAGAGGAGAGCAAGTTTTGAGCTTGGGATGAAGGAGGAAGAGAAAAAAAAAAAAAAAGCAAGAGAGGGAGAGAGAGAGAGAGAGAGAGCTTTGTCCAATCTTAGCAACCTAGCAACAAGTAAGCCACACGTCACTCTATTCATTTCTTCTCTCTTCTAAATACATGATATTATGTGTCCAAAATGTAGATTTCATATTCTTATATATAGTTCTCATGTGTTCATTACAATGTGATTGAGTATTGATGAGTACCTTGTTTGTGTTCAAATTGTGTTGAAGTAATTCATCAAGTTCTAGCCTATCTGAGTTATTAATATATTATTTGGCATGTTTTTATCATATGAGAAGTGTAGAAGGACCCATGGTTGACTCATTTTCTTATAACACATTTATTTTAAGTTTTGACCACAATGAACCGGTATTTCAGCCAACTTTCAAAAATTCTAGAAAAATGCAGAAACATTCCCATGGGTTCAATTTTAAATCAAAATATTCCTTAAAGTGTTGAATTTCAAGTAAAATTGGTTTCAGTAGAAATGAATGAGTTGGTCGAGAGAAAAACTGATTTTCGTAACTGCTGACGAATATGGACAGACCCAGAGTATTTCATTAATAACTAAAAATATAGAAAGGCTATCCCACTTCCGTAAATTGGTTTTGAAACTAGACAAAATTATCTTCAAACCCTCACAAGGCCAAGTTTGAAGAACCATTAGCAGTACTACTTTGATAGTTATCTTTAAAGTGATTCAAATCTGAAAATTTGTTACTTTTAATAGTTCCATACTGTTAGTTGATTGGATATGCCTCCTATAGTTTAATCAAGCTTTAGTATGCCATGTATGTATGTTTGTAGCTATATTTCCTTGAATTTATGTCTTGAAATGTTTATACTTGTGTAGTATTTTGTTATTTCAATAGCTTGTTCTACCCAGACATAACATGCTTAACTCAACGGAAAACTAAAAAGGGGTGGTGTTGGGATTTCGATCACTAAAGTAAATTTTATGAGATAACGACATGCTAATTTCAAGTATTGATTGGTGGGATGTGTTCCCTATTCGAGAATTAAGTCTTGCACAAGTGATTCATTTCGAAACCATTGAATGGATTGGTTGTATTCGGACCCTAGGTGGTTTTTGATATTGGTGTTATAAGGTTAGGAAGGTTTTTGGTGTTGACCCATGTTTTACTGTCTCTTTTGAGGTCCATGGTTGGCGTTACGTGGTAAGTAACCGTTGTAGGCATCTGAGATAAGGTTTGCAAAGCAGCAGAAAAGGAGGTACTAAATGATTCAAGTCCAGTTCTTGTGGTTGGGAGGATGAAATCTCTTTGGGGGATTTCTAGGTTACTAACACTGAAAATTGTAACCATTTTATCTCTTGATTTGGACATCATGCTTCATTGGTTATATTAATTGTGATTGTGTATTGGATTGGAAAAAAATGGACAGGGTGTGTGTGATTTTACTAGACATTCCAAGCTCATAGTGTTTTATGCCAGGTGTTGAAGAATTTTACCTTGACGACGGCACTACAAAAACTTTCGAGGACGTATGACTATCTTAGAAGGAATTGGAACTTATTTTGTTTAAGTTCATCTTGTAATCATTGTTGGAATGTAATATTGATGAAACTACTTGTTTTGTAACCTAGACGTAATTCTTATAACTATTACTTCTGCTATATGTATATATATTATCTTATGTGAACCTACCATTTACTTTCCCGTCAACTTATGCTGTCATTGAGTTAATACATTATTAAGATTTGTCAAAAACGTAACTTTGCTATCTAAGGAGATTGAACTTAAAAGAGAGACTATTTTGACTCCTCTGATCTTTCCTAGGATTTTAATTGGTTATTGATCAAATGACTCATCAGTGAAGTTTCCTTGATCTCAACCTATGTATTACAATTGGAGGCATCATAACTTGGTATCAAAACTCAGGTTCAAACCTTTAACCTGTATTACTCGACTTGTAACTCTAGTAACCTTACCCTAACCCTTACATTAATGTATTATCATAGCATTATACTTAATTAATATTATAACCTAAAATAAACTAATAATGAAAATTCATTTCTCTACTGTAAGATGGCACCGAGAAACTTTTCATCATCATGTGATATCAGGTTTGACTCCTAGGGAGCTTTTGGCTTTTAAGGAAGAAGGGCCATGTTTGTCACCACCAGCCATAGTAACCAACAATGCGAGTTGGCAGCATAAGACATGATCATTATAGGTGCAAAAGGTGGATAAGGACTACTCTTACTACACCATTGAGCATAAGCAGTCCTTGATATGACAAAGACTACAATACTAGAGCCGAGCAACAAAGTACACACTCCGCTTGAAGCAGGATGACCCTAGGTTGACCACATTGATACATCAGGCCCTGGTAGATGGAATACGACTTGGGCGCCCATGCTTATAAGGAGTTTGTGCTCAATACCGACCATGAGGCCCTCAACTACATCAATACCCAATCCTATTTAGTGCATCATATAAAAGACACTTGTTCAAGATAAAAATCTGAGATATTAATATATTATTTGACATGTTTTTATCATATGAGAAGTGTAGAATTACCCGTGGTTGACTCTTTTTCTTATAACTCTTTTATTTTAAGTTTTGAGCACAAAGAGAAGATATTTTTAGCCAACTTTCATAAATTCTAGAAATATGCAACAATATTCCCTTGGGCTCATTTTTAAATCAAAATATTCCTTAAAGTGTTAACTTTCAAGTAAAATTGGTTTCAGTA